GATCATTTAAGATGCAGACTCTACAAATATAATAGTTATCTTGTAATTTGAATTTTTAAAAGCCCCAGTATGTGCAGAGGAAAACATAAAAAAAAAAACACACTACAGAAGTGGTTCAAGTTTCTTGCCACAAAGATGAGAGTTCATGATGTCACTGCAAGAAATGCCCCCATAGAAAGTTTTGAAAGTGAACTGACCAAATACATCCTATCTTTCAAGGATGGATTTGATATAAAAACCAACAATGCTCTTCAATTTTGGTCTGTCTCCAAATAGCAACACCCTAGAATTGCAAGCACTGCTAATGATCTAGTTGCAGCACTTGCATCCTAAGCCTATGTGGAGAGAATATTCTCCATTTATGGAGAGTTTGTTTGTAATTAAGCACAAAGCTATGCAATGGGCTATCAGTGCTCTGCTCACAACGGTATCGAAACCCGGATTCTAGTGTTGTAAGTACGCAGACATACCGTTGTGCCACTGGGGGGGGCCCATTTATGGAGAGTTGACAAAAGGAAAATGCAACAGAACCAGTGTCACGCTGGAGAGTAAAGTTTTTCTAAGAATAAGTTCCAAATTAATCAAACTAAACTAGTGCTGTAGCTCACATATTTAATTAAAATGTGTCTACAACTGAAATAGTTTAAATAGTTGTCATTAAAATAAGAAAAGTTGATATAAACCAACTTATTAAACTTTGTCTCCAGCAAGCTGAATCTATTTGTCAATTATGCAATTGTGTGAAAGGTTTAGTAGACTTAGCTAGTAAATGGTAATCTTTGATCATTCAATTTTTGTGGCTATCTAGCCTAATGAAAGCAGCGACGGCACCATGGGGAGGATTTGCCCGCAAAGAGTAGGCTCTGCTCCCCCTCGCCTCCCCAAAAAAGTATAAAATTTAAAAAATACTTAAGTAAATATGCAGAGCCTGTTTACTAAACTAATACGCATCAGATTACTACATAATTATTTCATGGTTTTCAATTTATTCAGTTTAAAATAATTTCACCAAATTTACTCTGAAGTAAATCCATGTGATATTATAAACAGCAATAATATCACATCTTTGCCAATGATGTAAGCATGTAATATGTAGCGTACATGTGGTTCAAACTTCTATACTTTGAGATTGCCAGACTAGCTGATGTCATATACAGTTCTAACTTCTACGTATATTCTGCAACTAAACATTGTCTCAATTGCACACACACAATTTTAGTTCCACTCTCAAGAAAAAAAAAAGTTCAGTTTCATTCTCAGTGAATATCAGACTCTCAATCTCACTTTCAATTTCCTGGATCGTTTAAATATAGTAAGAAACGACTTTTATGTGGTTATATGCCAGTGCACGTGAGTAAAGTGACAATAAATATAAACTAAAACAAATGCATATTGACAGCTGGCAGAAAAAGTTGCAGTGCACATTTGTCGTTTGTAGGTGAAAATAAATAATCTTAAACAACATATTGTAAATTTGTGATGGATATTCGCAAATTTATTGTAAAGAAAACGTCAAAGACAAGATGATGCTAGTGCAGTTTGATAGAAGATAACTGAAATTACTAACGAGCCAGGTAGTAGTTCACACACGGAAAACGTGGTAAGTTTTGGTGATAATGAAAATGAAGTCATTGATATTCTCAGAGAGCCTGCGCAGGTACGATATATATGTGTTTATTTTTCAATACACAATATTTTAAAGTTTTTATTCCCAGTGAGATATACTCTAAACTACCAACCAGGTAACATATATCTAGTGTATGTAGTTGTACATTAGCAGCTGCTGGTATAACTAGCAAACTAGAGACTTATGTTCATCACCATACCTATCAGGTAACATACATTCAGTGTATGTAGTTGTATATTAGGAGCTGCTGGTATACGCGATTTTGCAAACTAAAGATTTATGGTGAAACGGGTGTGCTAGCAGACGAAATCGGAGGTATAAACAAAGCAAATCCTGGCATACTCGCATGTAAAAATAAGTGTTATATAACTTATATTTCTATCAACACACACTCAAGCTTGCAAACATTTCCGTGACCTAGGATGTCTTTATTGCGCGAAAACAATGCAAAATGATAACAAAAATCAGTGTGAAGTGATAACATGCAAACTACCGCTAAATTCCAAAATTTTGCCCCGACGATTGAAAACCGGGGCTAAAAATCATTTATCAATGTTACTATGATCATTTTCTGTCCATATGCAAAGTTTTCCGGAAAATTTTCCTAAATAATCATGTTTCTGAGGCACGAAAACTAAGGTATTCATATAGTGGATGCCAGTGTTTATACCCAGATATTTTTTGTCATATATTGACCCTTCCAGCTTTCAGTTTAGAATTTGCAAATTCACGTATATAGGTGTAATGAGTAACGCCCTGGTGGGCTTAATTGTTGGAGTTTCAATTAAAACTACTCCTTACACCAAACTTATTTATTGGATGATTTGTAGTGACGAATGGAGTCACAAGTCGCTAACTCGAGGTAGTTTGTAGTTAGACTAAAGAAATAGTCTCAGGCTCTTCTTGGAGGAACTGATTTTTCAGTCTCTGACATGGGTTTTTTAACTAATTTTTCTCGGTATCATCTCGACCCACTAAATAGGCCACAACATCACCCACAAGTAGTCCTGTGTTCCTATTGGATACTTTAGGGGAATTCCCGGGCTAATCCAAAACCATAACTCTCAAGTAATTCGTTATAGTTATAGATAAGTGGTGTTAGCCGGCCACCTATTTACTTGTACTGATACACCCATGTTCTGTAATTGATATTGCCTCAAAGTGCCGATATTACTCACTAAACCAAACTTTTTCGTAGCTTTCCTAGTTCTGAGGGGTTGAGGTCAGTAATCCATCAACCTGTCACAAGTACTAGTGCATTCATCTTGTTTCTAGTCAACGTTTCTTACGTAACTAGGCTTCTGACCTTGTTTACTAGTTCACAAGCTTATTTCACAGCACAGGCGTCTTTTCGTGGCCTAGGTTACTTACTTCGACTTGAAGAACTGTTAAAAACCTTTAAATTCTGTTTTACGCATTTTCAACTAATAAAACCTTAAGCAATTGTAAAATTTCCTCGAAAATTTTCTAATTCCTTCATAGGCCTAATCAAAATATTGATATATAACTTATTAAATTTCGTGTATACTTAGTCAATAGTATGATTATAGTCATCATACAGGCAGGTTTGTTCATGCAAGCTGTATTTAGGTAGAATTATAGTGATAATCTATTGCAATATGAAGTTTAATTATAGTTTTACGACAGCGTAAGTCACGTGATCTGGGAGCATGCGCGCTGGAGTTTCTAGAAGGATCATGACTTATCGAGGAACCTCGCGAATGTCCGAGTGTTTGCCAGGCGCCCTCTTTTTTAGTATATAAGCCCGGCAAATAAAGCCAACGAGAAATAGATATGCAGACAGATTGAAGATATAGATAATTGAGTCAAGCGAACAGTAGCCACCGTAAGTAAAGTGTGTGAACCACTGTGATTTATAGCGTGTTATAAAGGTTGTTAAGTTTAAAATGACTGTGGAAATTCTGTCTATTACAAAGTTGTATCGAG